GCGACGACTGAGGAGGGGCGCCTAAACAGTCGCTTGTTTTATGTCAGAGACAGAAACTCGGGCTTGAATTTCTTGGTGGATACTGGCGCTGCTCTTAGCATCATCCCTCAAAATAAAACTGAGATTAGTCGAGAAACATCTCCAATTACACTTCAAGCTGCAAATAAAGCTAAAATCGCGACATTTAGGAAGAAAACTTTAACCCTAGATTTGGGGTTTTCACGGTAGCCGACTTAGATCTGGCAATACTGGGCATGGACTTTCTAGAGAGATACGAATTCCTAGTTGACACTAAAAAACGGCGATTAACACTGAAAGGAACTTCGAATTACACGAAAGGCACAGAAAGTCATATCACATCTCTTAACTTGATTCAAACTCCTCCAGTAACAACAGCGAAATTCCAAGATATACTCGCGGAATTTCCAAACATAACTAGACCAAACCCACAGCCGTCCAAAGACAAACTAAAAGTAAGTCATACTATCAAGACCGAAGGTGCATCGGTGTTTCCAAAACCCAGGAGACTAGCACCAGATAAGTTCAAAATCGCCAGGGCCGAGTTCGATTATATGCTACAACTGGGTATTATCCATCCCTCTGATAGTCAATGGGCATCCCCTTTGCATATGGTCCCAAAGAAGAATGAAGGCGACTGGCGACCGTGCGGGGAATACAGGGCCCTCAACCGTCGAACTGTACCAGATAGGCACCCAATACTGCATAACCAAGATTTCACAAACAGTTTACAGGGTATAAACATATTCACTAAAATTGACTTAGTCAGGGCATATCACAATATCCCAGTGGCTGATGAAGATATTCCCAAGACAGCTATTACAACACCCTTTGGCTTATTCGAGTTTATACGTATGCCATTCGGCCTGAGAAATGCGGCACAAACATTTCAAAGATTCATAGATAACCTACTTCGAGATATGCCATTTGCGCAGGAGTATAAAAACGATTTGTTAATTGCCAGCCCCGATTTACAATCACACGAACAGCATGTACGAGCAGTGTTGAAAAGACTAGATGAACATGGAATAAACATACATCAAAGTAAGTGTGTTCTCGGTGTTCAAACTTTAGAATTTCTCGGTCACACAATAAGCCCAGAAGGGATTAAACCTATCAAAAAAGAAGTGGATACTATCAAACAATACCCCGTACCTAATTCTCTAACACAACTGAGAAGTTTTCCAGGCCTAATTAACTTTTATCGCAGATTCATACCAGGTTGTGCACAATTAATGCAACCTTTGACAGATTCACTCAAAGGAAAACCGAAAGAATTCAAACTGTCTTCTGACGACGTTGAAGCTATTAAACAGCTTAAAGATAAACTGGCTCAAGCAACTACGTTGATGTATCCGAATTCTTTTTCCACACTTGCTTTGATGGTGGGTGCTTCAGATAAAGCAGTAGGCGGTACCTTTAACTAACTGGTTAAAAACGCCTGAAAACCAATTGCTTTCTTCTCGAAAAGACTCGCTCCAGCTGAGACAAGGTATTCTACCTTCGGGCGAGAATTTCTTGCAATCTACCTGACCATTAAAAACTTCCGATACATGTTAGAAGGTAGGGAATTTTTAGTTTTCACGGATCACAAACCACTAACGAATGCATTAAAAGTGAGAGCCGATAAATACTCACCTCGAGAGGTCCGACACCTTGATTATATATCACAGTTCACAAGCAATATCCGATATGTCAAAGGTCAGGACAATCAGGCGGCAGATGTTTTATCTAGGCTAGAAATAAACGTGCTACAGCAGTCTACAGTAAACTTCGAGACGTTGAGAAACGAACAAGAGCAGGGTCTAGAACTACAAAACCTAATTAAATTAAACAATTCAAGTCTTAATCTAAAACAGTTCCCATCACCTATCGATGGTATTCTAATCTACTGTGACATGACCAAGGCAATGTCACGACCTTTCGTTCCCAAAAATATGCAAAAGTTGATATATAATAACTTTCATTCTTTATCTCATCCTGGCGCATACGCTTCAACTAAACTAATCAATGCCAGATATATATGGCCGAATTTACAGAAGGATGTACACAAGTGGGTTAGAGAGTGTTCAGCATGCCAACAATCAAAGATAAATCGTCACACAAATTCACCCATAGGTGTTTTCTCGCAACCAGATGCACGTTTTGCCCATGTGCATATCGACTTGGTATTCCTTTACCACGTTCAAACGGTTTTAATTATCTTTTTACATGCATAGATCGATTTACCAGATTCCCTATAGCCATTCCGATAGCGGACATCACAGCGGAAACAGTAGCCAAAGTTTTCATGCAGAACTGGGTAACCATTTTTGGTACACCCATAACAATAACGACGGATAGAGGAGCGCAATTTGAATCCGAACTATTTAACAACTTGACTAAACTTCTAGGCTCCAATAGGATACGCTGCACTGCATATCATCCTCAGGCTAATGGGATGGTAGAACGTTTTCACCGTCAGGTAAAAACCGCCCTTATATCTCACTCGAATACTAATCAGTGGACAGAATTCCTACCATTAGTTATGTTGGGAATACGAACATCTGTCATGAGCACCACTTAGCCCTCCATTTCAAGGTCCTTTCAAAGTCGTCTCAAGAAAATCTAAATATTTCGTGATAGAAAAACATGGAAACATCGACACAGTAAGTAATGATAGGCTAAAGCCGGCTTATCTAGATCATGAACCACTATACGTGTTGTTAGATCGTCTAACTGACAAATCCATTACGGAGTCGAAATGTAACAATGATAAATCTTTACAAATGAATAAAACGGTTCGCTGGGCACATCCAATTAGTCAGTCAAGGATGTTGACAGTTTCGGCTGTAGGATAAAACCTAACCACGTAGCTAATCACACCCTGCATCAGCTTAAAAATACTTTTTTTCCTCATTCCGCCTCACCAACAACTCCCCAGACCTATCCACTACTTGTCTGGTTTCTTCTACCAATAGCGCGAGGGTTACCTTAAGGCACGAAACATTCGCCAAATAACTGTATGTCATAAACAGCTCATGAGAGACGCGCGATTTGGTACGAATGTGCGTAATTGACTGAATGTGATCGGTTCTCAATACCCCGAAACGACTGTCATTTTATTTTAGAGAGGGCGAGTAACTTGAGCATCAACAGTAATGCCGAGAATGTTGAAAGAGCTAGTCCCTATTCGACATTTCTGAATGTTTACATTAGTGCCGCGTTTCTGGAGCCGTCGAAAAACAAGGTCAAGATGCTGAGGATGGGATTTATTGTCTAGACTTGCAAACAAATACCACCAACATAAGGATGCACAAAGCTGTGACCTATTAATGAATAGCCGTCAGACTTTTTAAAAGTTTGGGCAGAATCTATCAAGCCGAAAACATACGCGAAAATTCGTAGGGTTCAAAGGGAGTGGTGATAGACATGTTAAGAAACTCATCTGCGAACACATGAACTCGGTTGCACACTTCAACCAAGTTGAGTTCCGGAAAGACAGCCTCACCTTTCAGCATGGCTCTCAGGTCGTGGATGTTTGACCACAGATTACGATTAGGTACAGTTCTCGTATTGGGTCATCTGTAATAACCGTTGAACTACTATTTTGCTGCTTTTTGGGCTGCATGTGCAATGTAGATACCGATGGACTGCTAGATGTCCGGATAATTACTACGTCTGTCATATGGTTAAATTCTTTTTCGGGTAATATGTGCTTTTCCTGAGCTAGTAGGCACGCTTTCGAAAATGCAGGTGCTTCTGTGATCCCAAACTGATGTGTAACGCTGGTCATGGCACATAGGTATACGGTTGTGGTTTTTAAATTTTACGGCCATTGTCGAGTATCGGGTGGATGCATGAATCGGTTATAAGTTTAATCGTGAGTGAGCATAACCTAAGAATAGAAAGTGAAGTTCAATATAGGTTATTTTGTATTGTCATCTTTCAACCTGTTTGCTTGGATCGATGAACAGGTTGAAGTGTTGTGGATGATTTATACCGATGAGTGGCATGGCAACGTCTGCAACAACGCAAAACCAGCGAATATATCTGTATAACTCCACATTAAGGTATCCACACCTTTTGCCGTAAGCGGCTATCGGTTTCTCGTTTTCCACCAGTGAATTGAAGGTTGGATTTTATACAATCATTGGTATTCGTGGGAAGGACGCTTACTCCTGCGCCGATGTAGATAAAACGATGACCGTTCACAATCATGTCAGTAATTTATAACAGACGGCTATATCTACAGTGTGTTTGCCATTAATGCGTGGCAGCAGGGGAATATTCATGAAGGTTTGCTGCAATGCATGGTTCGAAGTTCAGAAATACATGGTTCCCTGCTACTTCTAAGCGATCCATCATAGTTGGCTCGGAAAAATGCTAACTAAGTTTACTTGCTTCCTGTGGTCTAGAAGCAGTTATTTTTTATGACTTACTTCTTTGGGGAGTATTGAATTCTCTGCGACCGTGGTGAAGATTAAGAAAAGAGTAAAAATATTACAAGAATCTATGGTTTTGTTTCGTGTCGTGTGAGGCTTTTATTTGGTGATTGGGAGACTTTAGCTTAGGTTTGTTGCATAAAACTAATATAGTCAGCATCTGAGTCGATGAGTTCCCAAACTATTTATTTTGTGAACTTATGTGGTGGTTCAGGAATATAGAAACCATTTTATTCAGACATCAAGTTACTTTTTGGCCTCTGTTCTAACAAGTGATGCTTTCCACTTTTTTGTTATGCGATGTGTTTCAGTTGAGACGTAGTACGTAGCTGTGTTTATAACTCTTATCATCTCTCATTTGAGGTCGAGCTCCAACTGGCTCTCTAATTTTTGTCAGAAATAGATAACTCGTAAACCTGAACATCATAATCTAAAGTACATTCAAGTATTTCTACTGACCAATTCCGTTCAAAATCATTCACAGAAACTGATAATTTTCCTGACAAGTTTCGGTTCCAAATGTGACAAGCGGGGCTTTGAAACTGCTCGGTACTAGTTATGTACGTCTGTGAGCTTTGCGGTATTTCGTTTAAAACAGAACAGGTATACAAAAATTATTCTGGCCGATACTAATATTTAACAGGAAAGTTATGAACATGATATTAGTGAAAAACACCACAAAAAGTTTGAGGAAAATGAATTCAATTATGGACGGCAACCGTACGTTAGTATAAATTTTGTCTTATATAAGTTTAGGTCTCACTTTTGTTCTATATGCCATTGTGGAAACATACAGGGCCTGAAGTGCTGGATCAACCACACTAAGAGCTCTCGTCACCAAATGAATTTGAAATATTTCTATGAATTTTATGGAATTAAGTGAGTTCTACTCTTTATCAAGCACCAATAGTTCTCTTTATTTAATTGTCGTTGTTTTTTAGAATTCAGTTTTTGAGGGAATTCGTGGGTAGTTACGGTGTGCTTTTACGAATAATCTTTTAAAGGGTGGGTATGTAGTTACCGATGAATGGAATTTTGCGGACTTTATTTATGTAGTACCCACTACTCATATGAGATATGTCCTCACTGCAGTGAAAAATCCACTCACAGAGACTGGCGTTTGGAGGGACTTTGCTGTAGTGTGAGTGATTGTGGCTTAGTATTAGGAGCATACAACAAATATCATGATTACGATAGTATTTTGCATAGCCACTGAGTCAATCATCAATAAATCACATGACCAGTTACTAGAATTCTAAATGGTGTTTCTTCGAGAATTGAGCCTTGTTGAGCTTCGCATGAAAATGTTCTCATGAGGCTCAGTAAATATTGCTGTTATTTGTAACGATAATGTTCTAGGCGCCATCCTGGCTGAAAAGATTTTGCCCGATAGAAGTTGCTGTTACATAAGTTGTCTGGGATATACTACAAATTTGGGGTTGGAGTGTCGTTTGTTACGTGAGAGCAGATACTTAGAAGACCTATATTATTCCAGCCATAATAAAAGCAATGACACCCCTTCACAGTAACTTCGAATATCATTTTCCAGTGGTCAAGAATATCAAAATTGACTTATATATCGTGAGTAAAGGGAGCTAGAATGTTAGTAGCTATTTTGTAACCGACGACTTCGAAACCGCTTGTGATTGCCGTTTGGAATTCTGCAATAATACCCAATGAATTTTAAATTCGCGTTTTCTTTACGATTGAGCATCATTGTTATCTATATCAATGTACTCAGATTTAAATTAACTTGTTTTGACTATCTAATTGATACTGCTTGTATGCTATTTTATAGTCCCCAGACAGTGTTGTTACAAGAACCACTTCAGTCTGCCCGCGAACCTAAAACATGTAGGTTTGTTTATGTTAGCTAATGTTACCTTTATTATATAGTTGCTTAACGTTTCGTAATGTTTATACCTCATGTTTAGAAATGATAACAAAATTTTCCGTTATACCATATTTCTACCAAGGGTCTCGCAGTTGTTTTATCTAAAAATACCATGGTACATTTGTACTTATTGCATCCAAATCGGCTTTTCCATAGAGGTCAGGTGGTAAGAATAGATATTTAGCATCTGTTAGGTAAATTTAGATTATCCAACTTGACAGGTCGGTAAACCTTGATCCTATACTGGAAATGAACACAGCTGTACTCATTTAACCCTATCAAATGCGATTTATTTATTTTAACGAATAAATATTCTTACAAAGGGGAACAGAAGACATATGGGCCACACAAGTCACTTGATTTGTGTGTGAGCTATGATACTGCCAGGGTGCCCAAACCGAAGCGGGTGGTTTTCCTAGGGGGCCACTCCCGAAGTCTTCAACCTACGGGTCTGATCCACAAGGCCGTAGAGCAACGTCGGAAGATGCAGTCCCATGGTTACCGGTGGCCAACGATTGGTTCATACGCCATTTGTTCCCTTAGGATCCTGAAGCCCATGTACACGACTGGTTTGGAATCAGGGTTTTATAACTTCTCTAGGTGGATCCTTTGTATCCACGATTCCAATTAAAGTACCGGACATTCACTTTTCGTTCTCTCAATTGCGTAAACAACGCACCCGCCATGAGAAGGAAGTGAGTAGGACTATTCTGGCAGTGATTGTATACGCGTGGCCATGTGAGAGCATTTCGAGGGGGAGAGCGGACTCTCCCCACCCCCAACCGTACCAGGGCATTCAGGGGCATCCAATACAATTCTTTGCACAGATGTGCATCGACATAAGTTGGGACACCATATCGCCATAGCGAAATAAAATCGACATGAATAGTAAAGCAGTCGGAATAATGGTTGTATCAGTAATAACAGAAACGACCAAGCATATAGGATATCACTCAAATACAGGCCCGGCGTTTGCGCAACAAAAGTTGAAAATAATATCGCACCTCAATATAAATGATAAAAATGATTATATTTCCATTCCCAAACCAGTCCTCCAACCATTTGGTTAGGATTATCATCCCACTCCCAAAACGATTCGTCAGTCAGTAACAACGTAGAACTTCGTACGTACGTACATCAGTTCGAGATGCCACACCACATTAGCACAGAGATGCAGTGGTCGATTCAAATTCCGTAGTGGTAGAGGTAGTAAGAGTATAAGCAGTAATAGGAAAGATTAGGGTTTGGAGATGTTATTTAAAGAGTATAATCCAGTAAAAAAAATTTGGAAAGAGAAAGAATGGGACATAAAGAATTCAGAAGATTAAAATTTTGGAGAACACAAAGAGTGGATGCACCTGCACCATTGCAAACGATTTTTAGCCATGTCATTCAGGGTCTCTCACCATCGGTTGCTATCATCTCACGGTCCCCAACCAGGTAGTCTACACTTACCAATATGACTCAGTCCACTTGTCGGTGATTTCATGGACTTGTGCCATGTTTTGGTCTGGCCGTCCCTAGCTTTCTTCCAATCTACTCCTATACAACAAAACATCGCACATCGAGGCAGTCGGTGGTTGGGTTTCCACAGCTTTTCGCATATCGTTCCATGCTGCCTCGGGGTGGGCATCACATACATGGCTGCCTAACTGTTTTCCTAGTTGTTCCTGAAATATACTCTTAGCTTGACTATCATTAAGTAGGCCCCATAGAGGTTTCCTTGCAGCGTCTTTCCTACGTCCAGTAAGATGTTGACAAATACGCGCTCGTACTAGAGCATGATCTGAATCTAAGCATGTGCTCCAGAATGGGCGACAGTCTTCTATCGAGCCCCTCCATCGGTGGCTGATAGCGATGTGATCTATTTGGGTCCAACGTTGGGACGAATTAGGGCGTCGCCATGTTAAAAGATGTTTTTCCTTATGCTTAAAGTTAGTATTTGCAAGGAACAGGCGGTTATCTGAGCATAGCTGCAACAGACGGTAGCCATTATCTGTTCTTTGAGCCACGACACCATAAGATCCACTTAGGTGTTTTTCCCTATCGCTTAGTTTACCTACTTGAGCATTAAAGTCACCGGCCACTATTACTACATCAGAGCGCCTAGCTTTTCGGAGAAGGTCGGAAAGCTTTCTGTAAAACCCATCTTTTACATCATCTGAGCTGTAGTCTGTGGGAGAATAGGCAGAGACGACGAAGAGGCAACGACGAGTGTCCCTATCTTTCCGGATCCTTACTGTTCCTTGTAGTCGGACAGCGCACAAACGACTGTCTACTGGGATCCAGTTTAAGAGATCTAGTTCTGCCCGAGGATTCACGGTTGGTACGACCAGTCAGTGGCTTTGTGGACTAATATAGTACTGATTTAGCATCACCCAATTCTCTTCTAACCTACCCCTACTCTATTCAGTATCGTGCAGTGAAGTAGACGTCTGTTGCCTATGTGTAACCCAGTTCGTAGGCGCCTCAGTTTCATCAACTGCTATCATCTTTGGTTCCAGGATGCTAGAGATACTAGTGGCATAAAACCCATCTAGTTCTCTGGTCACCGCGGAGAGAAATGGTTATGAGTTTCGGAGGATTCACTTAGCGGAGTCGGAAAACCCTGTTTACAAACCAATGGTGTACATGGGCTCCAGGATCCTGAGGGGACAAAAAGGATATCAAACTATTGTTGGTCATCGGCTACCATGAGACTACATCTTCTAAAGTTACCCCACTGCCTTATGAATTAGACCTCTTGGCCTCTTAAGAAAAAACCACCTGTCTCGGTTTGGGTATCCCGGCAGTATTCCAGCACTCACACAAATCGAATGGTTTATGTGGTGCATGTATTTGATGCCTCCTTGTAACAATGTTTATGTGTTTAGATAAATAAAAATTGTAAGTGTGCTTAACCTTCAGTCAGTATGTTCCAGGTTAAAAATCGGCCCCACCTACTTCAATTTAGGCAACCGAGTACTATCAGCTTTCATGCGGGAAGCGTGACTCAGATCTAAGTACATGGTGAATTAGTTCAAAAAGGGGTATAACTGATGTAGGTATATCATCTTGTCGCGTCTGATTTTAGGTCGATGGCTCTAAGCACGATCTCCTTGGCGAAGTGCATACTCAGTCAGTCAGTCAGTCAGCTACAACGTAGGACCAGGCAAATATGTGCATCGGTCCAGGTTGCCATACCTCATTAGCACAGCAAGATGAACAGCGGATTCATAGGAGTGGTTAGGTTAAAGGTGGTAATATATAGGAGAAAGATTGCGTATAAGGATACAGTACCGGAAGAAAGAATTAGTTAGTAGAAATAAAGATGTGAAGTGATTTTAATCTCTTAGTTTAAGGGAAGACAGGGAGTGTATAACACCGACGCCATTGTGATCGATTCTGAGCCATGTCACCAAGAGTCTCCAACCATTGGTTACGATTGTCACGCGGACCCCAACCAAGTAGTCTGTATCTACCAACATGGCTCAGACTACAAGTTAGTGGCTTCAAGCACTGATGCCACGTTTTGGTTTGGCCGCCCCTAACTTTCTTCCAACCATCTCCAACACCGGTTAGCATTGCACGTCGTGGTAGTCGGTGTTCGAGCATACGTAATACGTGGCCCAACCATCTCAGTCGATGAAGATTCATAACCTCATCAACTGATTTACCATCATTCCCTAATATCCTGCGTCTAACCTCACTATTACTTACCCGGTGATCCCAGCAGATGCCAACAATATTTCTAAGGCATCTGTGGTCAAATACTAGTAGCTTACGGGTGTCTTCTACTCTTAGTGGCCATGTCTCGCTGCCGTAAAGTAAAACAGAACGAACTGCCGCGCAGTTTACTCGTCCTTTTATTGATAGACGGATATCTCGTCTCCGCCAAAGGTGACGTAAGTTGGCAAAAGCCAAACGAGCTTTTCGAATCCGTGCTGAGATTTCGTCAGACACCAACCCATTAGGGCTGATCAGACTTCCAAGATAAGTGAAGTTGTCAACGCGTTCGACTACTTCACTCCCTATCCTTAGTTCAGGTGTTGACGCAGACCAGTGCTGAAGCAACAACTTGCATTTCGAGGGAGAGAAGCGCATCCCAAACATTCTGACATTGTTGCTTAGTGCTACCAGAAGACTGCATTTTGTCAGCGTCTTCACCATACAAGACTATGTCATTTGCGTATTCTAAGTCGATAAGTGGACCTCCTGGAAGGAGATCAATACCAGAGAATTCAGTCGACGAGAGTGTTATTTCCATCAATAGGTCTATGATGAAGTTAAACAAAAATGGAGAAAGTGGACAGCCTTGACGGACACCACTTGAGGTTGCAAAAGTAGATGACAGTTCGCCATAAGCCCTGACTCGACTAGTAGTGTTCGAGTAAAGAGCCTTCACAAGGTTTATGTACTTCTGAGGTACGCCTTTCAATGACAGACACTGCCACAGAATCTCGCGGTCTACCGAGTCAAATGCTGCTTTTAAGTCAAGAAAGACCACCATTGTCGGACGCCGATAAGTATGCCTGTGTTCTAGAACCTGACGAATGGTGAATATGTGGTCGATGCAGCCACGACCAGGTCTGAAGCCAGCTTGGTTCTCTCGTGTTTGCAGTTCACGAGTCTTAGTTAGGCGTCTGATATTTATCGAGGCTAGTATTTTAGATACTATATTAGTTAAACTAATCCCTATATGATTGTCACAGGATGATTTTGACCCTCTCTTATATATTGGGACGATAAGTGATTGTGACCAGTTCGATGGGATAACGTCTAACTCCCAGATCCTAGCTAAAATATTAGTCAACCTAATCGCTAAAATTGGACCACCATCCTTAAAGACCTCTGGAGCCAATCCATCTGGACCAGCTGCCCTTCCTCGTTTCAGATTAACTATAGCATTTTGAACTTCAGCAAGAGTTGGGGGACCTACTTCAATGTTCCATTCACATTGTCTGGGAATGGAGGGTAGTTG